AAAAAAAAAAAAAAAATCCCATTATGCAGACAGATGTTAATCAAAACCCTTAATTTGGTACCTTGTGTTGTGCTCCAGGGTAGCAACTGGAGGTTGATTAATGTAAAGTTATTAGTGGCTTGTGCAGAAACCTGGACTCAGAATGCATGACCTCACAAAAAGGTACTGGAAAGTTAGTTTAATAGTGTAGACCAAGAAACAAACTGGGTACATGCACGCAACTTCAGACTCTGCAAGGTTAAACCAATAACACAAAGCTATCATGCTGCTTCAAAAAGCTTATTAAAACGCTAAATTTACATGATCAGTGTAACTTCTCCACTAGAAACCACAGTCTGCTCACTAGAGATGGTCTTGACATGAGTGTTCCTTCCTGTATGGGGAAAAAAATTTTGAAGTGTGAAGGCCAATTATAAAACTCACTTCCTCTAGTCAAGTTAGACCAAGAACTCACTCTTCCTGCCGCAGCTTTGCTCACAGGAGCCAGAAGATGGATGGCACACTGCTGTACTACAGTGGATGAAGATCTGACAGGGAGGACAGAGGGTCAAGTCATGCAATCTATAAGGAGTAAAATTAAAGGGTCAAGTAAGGGGAGCATACCGTTTCCTGCAAAGGAGCCAGTGATGCTGGATCCACAAACGTGAACATCTTCACAATAAAGCGCTTGTAGTGGGTTGGGAACCTACTCAAAATAGCTGTCCCTTGTGATGGAACCAAACGGTCCCATCCCCACTTCATATGAGGAGGTCATTCGGTTCTCATACACCACATAACCACTGTCCTCCTGCAAATAGCAACACTGTTGGCATCCAGCCCATCATCAGCAAAGCAGAATAAAACCATAAGCAGCTACTCACCATCATTCTAGTACCACATGCGGTCACAGGGAACTGGTATACAGCAAAGTAAGGTGTGGACCCCACAGGACTGCAAGGTGGGTCATTTCCACCCAGTAGATGGACTGAATCCAGACTCAGTCGAGGCAACGTAACATCTCTAGCCACCACTACCACAAACTGACCATCTCTTATACACTGGACAGTCACTGGAACGAAGGCACAAGACCAGGTTAATGTCGAGGATCAGTTTAACTGGGAGCATAACACCGACTCACTCTTACCTGCATTCCCATAGTAACACTTAACACCGACTCACTCTTACCTGCCTTCCCATAGTAACACTGCTGCCCATTAAAGCAGCAGTTGATGGCTTCACATTCAGCCCCACTGATACCAGGTTGTCCACATTGGATCTGTGCATAATCAGCTACAGCACATTTGTCCAAAGGCTCTGCCTTCGTCACCCAGATGATCCAGTCACTGGAACCAATGTGGTCAGGTAACGGTCATCCTGGTAAGGGCATCTGAAAGGGAAAAAGGGGTTAGAAAAATCCCCAGAATAGCTGGATAAACATTGCCATTATACTCACCCATCAACCAGAAGGTCCCACTGGGGTAGACTGAGTGGACTGGGGGTTGAAGTTGCCCAGCAGCGTCCCAGCATGAGGACAATGTTGGGGTCGGTCCTCTCCATAATGCGCACCTCAACATACACAGGCTCCAGATTACTCAACTTTGGAAGAGCATGACAGAAAGCACACAGTGCCAATAAATAAACCAACCACCAACTTCCAGCCATTGTCTAACAGCTAATCACACTATTGAGATGCTGCCCTTTGGTCTTTTTGTACTCTACATATTTCAACTAATTAGCTATCGTCCCTCCCTCTTCATTAACACTCATGATTCTCCAGACTTGCATTATTGATAGCTCATGCAACTGGGTGATTCTCATTGGTTCTTAAGATTAAACTCTTATCTTTTCCATTTTGAACATAAATGCACAAACTTAAACTGAATTCAAAATATTTTACTAATCTGATTGAAAAAAAAAAGTTACTGTAACTTGCCAAAGGTAGATTTTCAACTTTGATGCCATTGTCCTTACCACTCTCTGCAGACAAGTGTGCTCTTACAGATATGACTAAATACTATTTTAAGCAGTAAATGATTTTAAATATATGGAAGCTTATTTCCACTTCAGAATAAAAAAAATGAAGAAGGTAATTGTTACTTTTTCTTTTAAAATTGACAAAATTGAGTTTCTATCTCACAGTTTGCTTACATCTCAACGATGCTGACTTTATTCTCCAAATCTACCTCTTTCATTCCTTGGGGGAAATAAGCTTCCATTGAAGTAAGTAAGTGAAGTTTATTGAAACCACTGGAGAATACAGAGTTAAAGAGAAACGCTGACAGCTTTTTATTCTTTAAGATCAGACCTCAGACTTTCTCTAGTAAATCTACTAAAAAAAAAACAAAAAGAGCAATCCGAGTTAACATTATTAAATGAGTTGACACTTAATGGACAAGACCCCATCTGCAAACACCAATTTTGGAATGTTTATTTTTTCACAAAACTCATGTTAAGTATGGAAGGCCGTTTCTGCCACTGAATAAAAAAATAAAAAAGGTAATTGCGACTTTTTATCTCACAATGCAGACGTTTTTTCTCGCAATTGTGAGATATAAACTTGCAATTCTTAGAACAATATTTTCGCCCTCAAAATTGGACTTTATAACTCGCAATTGCAAGTTTACATCTCACAATTCTGACTTAACTCACAATTGCGTGAGAAAAAAAGTCACAATTTCGAGATTTTAACTCAGAAAAAAGTCGTAATTGCAAGAAAAAAAATCAGAATTGCGAGTTTTTATCTCACAATTCAGACTTAACTCGCAATTGCGTGTTATAAAATCAGAATTTAAAGATTTAAACTCGCAATTCTGAGAAAAAAGTCAGAATGTTGAGTTTATATCTCGCAATTCTGACTTTATAACTCGCAATTGCGTGTTAAGTCAGAATTGTTTGAAATAAATTCGCAAAAAATCACAATTTTGAGATATAAACTCTCAACTCTCTGCGCAGGGGCACGGGAAGATGTTTTCGGTTGGGGGTGCTGTGTGTGTCCGTGTTGGGAGGGGTGGAGAGGTGGGTGCTCGTGCAGGGGCTGTCGATTTTGGAAAGTTTTTGCTGGGATGGGCATTTAAAAAAATCTGAAAGTCGCTTTTGCGCCATTACCTCCTTGTATTAAAGTTAATCTTGTTCGCATTCAAATTAAGTACAGCAGACTAATATGAAAGACTTGAGGCTAT